ACACACACATCAGAACATGACCCAATTAGCACATTCAAAGGGCTATCTCTGAAGGCACCAGACTCTGCTGAGGGTAATTCCACTTCTCACACACAGCAGCTCATATACTGTGGTCAGGGTCAATCCTCACAATCAGCCAGCCTGAGGGTCAACTCCATCCACAAACAGGCCAGCAACAATCAAGACTCAACTATGACAGGAGGGCACACATAACCCACAAAAGGGATATTCCTGGAGCACCTAACTCAGGTGATTAGGGAGCTGTGCCACTAAGCTCCACAAGATACCAAGGCAACCCTACCAATACTGGGAGATATAGCAGATCTACCTAATACAAAGAAACAAATACAGAGAGGCAGCCAAATGGAAAGATTTTTTTTTTTTTAAAAAGCCCCAAATGAAAGAACAAGAGAAAAAAAAAACAACCACCAAAAAAGAATTATATGAAGGTGATCAATCTATCAGATACAGAGTTCAAAACTATGGTTATAAGGATTCTCAAGAAACTTAGAAAAAAACAGATGAGTTCAGTGAGAACTTCAACAAAGAGATAGTAAGCATAAAAAAGAACCAGTCAGAAATAAAGAACACTCTATCTGAAGTGGAGAATACACTAGAAGGAATCAATAGCTAATTAGAGGAAGCAGAGGATTAAATCAGCAATTGGGAAGATAAGGCAGCAGAAAATATCCAATGAGAGCAGAAAAATGAAAAAAGAATATTTTAAAAATGAGGATACTGTAAGGAACCTTTGGGAAACATCAAGTGTAACAACATTCGCATCATAGGATTACTAAAAGAAGAAAGAGAGCAAGGGATTAAGAATGTATTTGAAGAAATAATGACTGAAAGTTTCCCTAACCTAGTGAAGGAAAAAGCTACACAAGTCCTGGAAGTGCGGAGTCCCAATCAAGATCAACCAAGAAAGACCCACACCAAGACATATCATAATTAAAATGGCATTTGGTACATTTACACAATGTAATACTATGTAACTGAAAAAAAAAAGAATTCTTAAAATTTGCAACAGCATGGATGGACCTGGAGAGTATTATGCTAAGTGAAATAAGCCAGTCAGAGAAAGATAAGCATCACATGATCTCACTCATATATAGAATCTAATGAATAAAATATACTGATGAAAATAGATCAAGAGACACAGAAACACAGAACAGACTGTTGAACCTCAGAGAGAAGGCAGGGAAGGATAGGTGGGTGGGAAGAGATTAACCAAAGAACTTGTATGCATATACGTATATAACCCATGGTGTCACTGACAATAGGGTGGTGAAGGCCTGGGGCAGGGGTCAGGGCAGGCTAGAAGAGCTCAATGTGGGGAAAAGGGGAACATATGTAATACTTTCAACAGTAAAGGTTTTTTAAAAATTAAAATGGCAAAGGTTAAAGACAAAGAGAGAATCTTAAAAGCAGCAGGAGAAAGACAGTTACTTATAAGGAAGCTCCCATAGGACTGTCAGCTGATTTCTTCACAGAAACTTTGCAAGCCAGAAGGGAGTGGCAAGAAATATTAAAAGAGATGAAAAACAAGGACCTATAACCAAGAATATTCTACCCAGACAAGAAAAAGCAAAGGAGTTCATTCCTATCAAGTCAGTATTATAAGAAACTAGAGGCCCGATGCACGAAATTCGTACAAGAGTAGGCCTTCCTTCCCCCACCTGCCAGCACTGGCTTCCCTCTGGCACCCGGGACCTGGTCTTCCCTCAGGCTGCTGGCAGGCACCTGGGACCCAGGCTTCTAAGCTCTAATCACCGGCAGGCACCCAGGATTCAGGTTTCCATTGTAGCCCCAGCTTCATCCGGCAGGTCAACTGGAAGGACGTCTGGTCTAATTAGCATATTATGCTTTTATTATTAGAGATGTTAAAGGGCCAGGCAGGCATGGCTCAGTGGTTGAGCATCGACCTATGAACCAGAAGGTCAGGGTTTGATTCCTGGTCAGGGCACATGCCCGGGTTGTGGGCTCGATATCCAGTAGGGGGCGTGCAAGAGGCAGCCGGTCAATGATTCCCTCTCATGATTGATGTTTCTCTCTCCCTCTCCCTTTCTCTCTGAAATCAATACAAATATAATAAATAAATACTCTGCTTTCCACAAAACATTAAAACTCAATTTGGCCACCTTCTTTGCCACTTTACAGCAAGGATCACCTATCCTCCAATGTCCAATAGCATGCTCCCCATCTCTGTCTAAGGTCTCATTTCACAAGGAGCTTTAATATTCATGTTTCTAATGACATTGTGCTTATGCAAACTCCAAGATTACAGAAGTCTTCTCTACAATTCCACTCTTTTCTTGCTGGGTCCTCACCAGAATTGCCTTTAACACTATTTCTACTAATCAAGTCTTTCAGGCAATCTAGGGTTTTTCCAGTATGAGCCTCAAACTCTTCTCCCACTACCCTGTTCAAAAGCTGCTTCCGCATCTTTAGGTATTTATTACAGCAGCACTCCCCTTCCCAGTACCAAAATCTATGTTAGTCTCTGGGCTGCCATAATAAAATGCCATAGGTGGTCTGTGGACCACTGGTGGTCCGTGAGGTCCAAAAGGTTGGCGACTGCTGTGTTACAAGGCTCCAAGGGACATTGGTCTTCATGCTGGAATATGCTTTCCGTTAGCGCACACACAGGCTTTCTCTAAGCAAGCCTAGGAACCCAACAGCATTAGGGAACAGATTCCTAGATCACTAGCTTCCATTTCTCTCTCTTAAAACTGACTTGGCCAAGGATACACCAAGTGTACAGGTTCTCTTTCCTTGTTACTCTTCTCCCACTCTGGGAGGGGAAGGAAGACGAGTCACCTACCCTTACCAAGTTTGTTGTTCCAAGGTGAAGAACCTCTGAGAAGGCAAGTAAAGGGACTTATTCCAATTTTTGGTTTTAAAAAAGTAAGTAACTCTAATGACAGGCTAATATCTTAGGTGGTTTACAATTTCTGCTTTTAACAAACTGAAGGAATTGGAAGGCTCATTTAAGTGATTTTTACTGATAGATGACTATGTAATTTTAACATAATTTTAAAAGCATTTAAAGACTCACTGGAATGACACTACTACAATAAGTCTTGGAAATTCAGGTACTTATATGAATGTGTTCTCTTAGCTCTCATGTTAAAAGAATCTCCTCCCAAACCCTAAGACTCTTCATTCTTCATTTTTCTCTGCTCTGTTATTTTAACGCTTCTGTAGTATTTGTAATTTGCATTTGTATCTAATTTCCTTACAGAAACAGGATATAAATGATGAAAAGATTTGAGACCTACACTGATTTCAGGAGGTATTTTCCTCTTTGACTTAAACAGATACAACTGCTCGTGGTGGGGAAACCCTTTCTACCTGCTCTTGTAGAACCTCAGTACGGCCACCCACACCAAGTCATTGGTTGTACATTATCTACTTTATACAAAGGAGAAGAGACAACCTTGATGATCATGATCCCTGTGGTGTGCCATTCAGTGTCACATGGTGTCTGGCAGTTGAGAGAACCACCAGCCAATAAAGTCAGCATTTCTTAAACCTTGCACCCAAATGTCCTTCTCCTTTACGGTCTGAATGACAATTATTTTTGTAGCTGTTTCCATTTGAAATATAATCAAGAATTTTATTTTTATTACTATCAAAGACTTCTTTATACTTTTCTTAGTTTTTATAATAGAGAATTACAGACACGGGAAGGAGTTTCATAGGTCAGCAGCAGGAAAAAAGAGCTCTGCAACAAAAGACCCAAAGAACATCAACAAGTATGCTTCTCAAGAGCCATAAAATGGGGTGCCCAGAAAGTCAGTAAACAAGGCCCGAGTAACCCAACCTGGAGAGAAATCCATGTGATACCCCACAAAGTAGTAGTAATAGGCACTGTGAAGATCCTGCATCCCCAGGATAATTTGGTTCAGGGAAATGGCTGTGGATTAGGACACAGCTGGGAACCTCCTACAGCCTAAAGCTTCCTCAAGAAAGCCAAACAAATAATGTGAGAAAAATTTTAGCATGAGCAGTGTCAAAAGTTACTATAAACCATAAGCAACTGTAAGTAGTTCATCCTGATTGTTTTCCAAAACAGCTCCTTCCTCCTAAGAGGCTCTGAATCCAGACCCCAGATATCCCAGGGAATAGGCCTACAGGTCTCCTGCTAACAGTCCTTACCTAAATCTGAGGATTGAACCATATGAGAAATCTTAAGGCTGTCCTAAGAGCCCTGGGGTGCCCTTCCCCACAGGACTTATGGTATTTCCACTCAGCTGTGGGCACTTGAGCCCAGCTGGGGAGAACATGCCATCTTAACGAGATGGATGACAGGCGTCAGGGACAGAATGCCCATTTTAAACAACTGAACCTACACGAATGACAAAGCAGTGAAAGTTTTCACTGTGCAACTAAAAAGAGCCTGGCCGGCTAGGCTCAGTGGTTGAGCAGCAACCTATGAACCAGGAGGTCACGGTTAGATTCCTGGTCAGGGGATGCCCAGGTTGGGGACTCAATCCCCAGCGTGGGGCGTGCCTGAGGCAGCTGATCAATGATTCTCTCTCATCATTGATGTTTCTATATCTTTCTCCCTCCCTCTCCCTTCCTCTCTGAAATCAATATTAAAAAAAAAAAAAAGAAACAATATTTTAATTCTTCTGCTCTTTCTGTGGCCCACAAAAGAATGGTACAGGACATTAACTCTGTGTTATCAGTCTGCAGTGGGATACAACTCAAATGTAAACTGCCACAGACTGAAGAAGGCACTGTTCTACACCTTTCTAAAGAAAGTAAAGAAAAGCTTTGCCAGTACCTATTCATGATCCACAGTGAAAAGAAATACAAGTTTTTACATAAAATATTCCACAACCGTGCCTTCACTGTATATCATCAGCTCCCAAAAGACTTTCAGTCAAATTCATTCATTCTACACTGTAAAGACATCCAAAAGGGACATAATCTCCTTCCCAAGCAGTTCCACTGCTCTCCCCGCCAACATACACACACATACACACACTCACATGTCCTCCACTGTGATGTCTTTCAGGATCTGGCAGTAATCCACATTCCACACAGCCTGGTCATCCCACACCTTGGAGGCCAGCAGAATCGCACCGAGAACAATTCGTTTCCAGTTGGCGGGACAGATATCTATCTCTGCATATGTTAAAAGTCTTTCAAGGTATACCTGGAAGATAAGAAATTGTCAGAGATAAGCAACTTGACTTGTTTTCTCTCACATACTAGCATACATAAAAAAATTCTAAAGTTGTCTGATTACATTTCACCGGCCTTAAAACAGGGATTTATTACCTGATCATATTTATTTTAAAAAAGTCAAGAGCGCAAATAGTCTAATGTGTAATGCACACATTCTGAAATTGGGCTGTGTGGATGTACTGGGTCTTAAAAAACACCAAGCCAGGAACAATCACCAGGAGCCTTAGGTTAAATTTCTCACTCTATCAACTATGATATCAATACAAATTTAACAAAACAACAAATGTTTCAGTAAGCAAAGAATGTGAAAGAATAAACCTATTGTTTTCTATCTGTAGTTTTTTAATTAAACTTTTGAGGATTTTGTAGATTTATATGCAGTGTTGATAAACCTTTTTGTATAACTGTGGTAAAATATACATAGTATAAAATTTACCATTTAACCATTTTTAAGTGTAAGGGTCTATGGCATTAAGTACATTCACACTGCTGTGAGATCATCACCATCCATCCCCACCTCTAGAACATTTTCATCTTCCCAAATTGAAACTTTGTACAATACAGCATTCCCCTGTCCCAGCCCCTATTAACCATTCTTCTACTTTGTCTCCATGAATTTCATTTGTTTAGGTACCTTATGTTAGGTACCTTATGTACCTTACTGGAATCATACAGTATTTTTCCTTTTGTGTCTGGCTTATTTCAGTGTGAAGTAGCATCTCACTGTGGTTTGATAAACCACATATTTTCATTAAAATGGGTTGATAAACCCATCTTTAATGAAAAAATTTCAGCTGAAGATAGAAAATAAAACCAAATAAAATAGGATTTATAAACTGGCACAATTTAGTTTGAGGACAGACATCAGAAATATCCACAAAGCCCCACCACTTGAGTTGGGTAACAAGAAATGTCTTTTAAAGTTTCCTTTGGCAAAAATCTGTTATATTTCTCTGAACAATGGAATTCTTTTCTCTATAGTTTATCATGTATAAATTGGAACTGCATCAGAAAGGAACAAATTTAATTATCCATACTTCTTAAAAAACTTGCTAACACAGATAAAATCTACAGTGTTAAAATTATTCAGTTTATAATTTCTGTAAAGTCTTAAAATATGCAATTTCTAAAAAGGCATGTGCAGAGAGTAATATGTTAAATACACAAATAAAATAGAAATTATTTTCTGCTAAATAATACTATTGCTCATAAACAGGATGGGAAAAGTTAAAAAAGGGAAATAATTCACACCTGTTACATCATTAGGACTCTGGGGAGGAGGGTGTACTTTAGGAAGCTCTTGAGTGATTTTGAGAAGTTTGACATGAATGTGGAAGTGGAAAAACATGATAATGCCATAGTTGATTAATATTATACAACAAAAAAGACTACAGGATGAAAACAGGTATTGTCGAACTTTATTCACTGTTAAATACTGAGCACGCAGCAAGTACCAGGCTCTGTGCTCATCACTGGAGACAAAGTATGGAGGGGGCAGTGACCCCTCTGGCTACAGAGGGGAGAAGGGGCTGGAAGGGAGTAGAGCTGGTGGGAAGAGGCATCAGGAAATGATGAAGCAGTCCTAACAGAGGACCAGTGTTTGACAGTGGAGACTGGCAGTCACATTCCAGAGATTCCTGTGACCCCAACAGCTGTGAAGATGGGCTGCTGTGGAAGATCCCAGACTTTCAGGTCACACAGATGGATGGGTGACACCTTCTGAGACAGGGAACACCAGGTGGGAGAGGTTGGTGAAATATAATTACAAGGATGACTGTGGATGTTTTCTATTTGAGATGTCTCAGAGAATGCCATTTAGGCAGCATACATGCACATCTGGAGCACAAAGGAAACAGCACTGAGATAGAAATCTGAGAGTCTGTGACACACAGAGTAAGTCGTGGGCATGGATCCAGTGACCTGGGGAAAAGGGAAGAGAAAGAAAAGAAGGGGCCAGGCCTAAACCATGAGAGTTCCTCTTTTTTTAATATCTGGATAGAGGGTGAAGGGACAAAAAAGGAGAGGGAGGGATAAAGTCTGTTATGTTCTGCTCTTAAGTCTTCTAATAGTTTGGAGAAAAAAATTACAAGGTAAATCTAGGTGTTTTTGAGGCATGAATTAGGCTTACAATGTTATACAAGGCATCTGAGAAGGAACTAAAGTGGTCTCTTTAACAGTGAAAAATAAAACTAAAGAAGCAAGGCCACTTCAGACAGTGACTATGTGGGTGAAGAGGGGCAAGGGAGGGAGCAGGGATGAGGTATCTAGAAGGGAGAATGGGGAGGAAGAGGGACAGAGGTGGAAGAAGAAGAGAAAAGGGAAAGGAAAGGGGGAGGGGGAAACTATCTTCAGTGAAAGTAAAACTCTGAGCAGATCAAGAAAAGTCACAGCATCAGATAGCAGCTCCTCCGTGGAGCCTCCACTGGTTCCCCTGATTCCTAACCCAGAGACACAAGAGTCATAATGCTCCCTCTAATGCAGCAGACGTTTCCTATGGCTTCTTTTGCAGTCTGTCAAACAGGTGAACACCCAGGGAAGTTCGGAGGGGGTTCAGAATCTTGTCTGCCTCTTCTATTAAAATATGGCTTTGCCAAGAAGTGGGTTGGCACTCAACTATTTGCTGAATAAAAAGATAAAATAATGGTTCATTTGCTCATAAAGGTTATTGTTCTTTTTTCAGGGCTCTATTAAGAAAAAAGCAATTTTTAAATCTTTGAAATCTAGATTTTTTATGGCTCTCATATACCAGGTGTTCCCTAGAATGAACAGGGGCACTGTATGCACTAAAAGATAAAGTTAAAATTATGAGAAGAAACTACTAACATATTTAAAATCCCCAAAACAAAATAGCCAATAAAGTGACAACAGTTTACTGGAAAGTAATAAAGTAAGAAACCATAACAGGGCAAATCTACCTTGACTTCTCCTCACATTAGTCTGGGTGATCCCTCCACTTGCCACATTGCTGCCTTGGTCTCCCTCCTTAGTAACCATTTATTTGTTCTCTGAGGACAAAGACCACATTTCACTTTGCCCACTGTGTGCCCAGGGTCTAGAATGATGCCAGGGCAGGGCATGGCAAGAGTGCTTGCTTAATGGATACATCATCCTGCAGAATGAGTAAGGAACAACATCTACATAGAAGCTCTGGCTCTGGAATACTGATGCAGGTGGGCAGATTTCTTGTGTAAGTGATTGATCTAGTAAAATGGCCACAAACAATGGCATCTGAGAAAGGTGACAGCACTTAGAAAGGTAGAGTGGAGTTAAAGGTGACACTGTTTTGTGAGACAGCTACAGTGGTGAACAGTGAAAGGATCCAGGAGGAAGAGTCCACTCTGTTGTCTGAAGCACAGAAAATGGAAAGACCTTCAACTAAGTTCAGGAGGTCAAACAGCCGGGCACTCTTAACTATATGGACCTGAATGAGAGTTTCCAAATCTCTCACTGAACAGTAATAGTACTGGGTCATGGCAACCATCAGTGAAATAAAGGAGGTCACTTGAACAGAGTCAGTAAGCTTTTCAATATTTGGAGATTTTAGTTTTAAATGGCATTTATTATACTAAAACTAATGTTATTTTTGTTTTTTTAAAAATATATTTTATTGATTTTTTACAGAGAGGAAGGGAGAAGGATAGAGAGTTAGAAACACCAATGAGAGAGAAACATCAATCAGCTGCCTCCTGCCTCCAAAAACTAATGTTTTTTATCATGATTTTTATTTGTATGAAAATCCTAATTCTTCAGGTAAAGATCCAGGCCAGGCCAATTGGAATTGCAGCTTGGACCCAGACTAAATCTTTTACAAAGGCGGGTGACAAACTTTATTCATTCTCCTACGAGAGAGTCAGAGAATTGTATATAATAAAAGCCTAATATGCAAATCGACCAACCGGAGGAATGAACAGAACGAACGGTCGCTATGACATGCACTGACCACCAGGGGGGCAGATACTCAATGCAGCCCGGAGGCCCCAATTGACAGTGACGGCAGGGCTGGCAAGCAGGCAACGCCAGGCCAGCCAAGGCGGGTGCCAGCAGGGGCCCCTCCGATCACCCTGCCAGTCACCCTGCAAAGGGAGGCAACTGGTGGAGGTGGCAGCGGGGGGCAGGGCCAATGAGCGGGCAACACCAGGCCAGACAAGGCGGTGCCAGCAGACTGCCCCACAGATAGGTCCTGATCGCTGGCCTAGGGACCCTACCCAGGTACGAATTTTGTGAACTAGGCCTCTAGTGTATAATAAAACTGTACTAATAGCAGGAAACTGAAGCTGGGATTAACTAAGCCTCCAGGGTTTTAAAGCAACAGAAAAAGGAGGCTGTGAAATAATCTTCACCATATGCCCAAGACTCCAACCCTTCATACACACAAGACATGAAGGGCCCAGAAACTAGACTCACTGGCTCGGTGCAAACAGGTGACGACTCCACTTTCTTCCTATTTACCTCACACCTTAGCTGATACATATTAGTAAGTGTTCTGGATGATATTGAGAATATTTAATGTCTGAGAAAAACCAACAGGCATCCACCATGTCTGATATCCATTAAGGCTAACTAAAGGAATTAGGTATTAAAATACACTGCCCATTACTGAAGAAAGGCAGTTGTTAATTGGGAGATATGGCATTCATAATAAGCTCCAATAATAGCATGCAATTTAGCAAAACTTGCCAGTAAAGGTATATTCAAGATCAGCTGCAACTTCTTTAGTAAACTCCCTCTTAAGTATTTTAAGTCTCTGCCAAATGAAAGACTATACAATTGATTTTTTTCTAAATAATATCCTTAGATCACTGCTAATAGGACACTTTTCTTCAATTCAATTTTCAGATTTATATTCATGAGAAGAACCCTAAGGAGTCTCTAGAAAATACAGGTTAGTGAGCAATTAAAAAGTAACACAGAGTATTCAGTTGACTGCACATGACAAAACTGTTCACAAAGGCATGGGGAAAGA